ACAAAACAGGTAGAACTACAAAACAGGTAGAACTACAAAACAGGTAGTGTGTAAGTAAAGACATCAATGGAGTGAAGAAATGTGGTCAGTTTGTCCTCCAGCAGTCTAAGTCGATAGCAGCATAACTAAGGGATAGCTCAGGAAACCCAAGCCAATCCTAACTATAGGATTTATCAGGAAAGTCTTAAGTCCAGTCTTAAAATTGGACAATGTGTCAATTCCATGGACAGAAACTGGAAGTTGGTTCCACAAGAGAGGAGCCTGATAACTGAAAGATCTTCCTCCCGTTCTGCTTTTGGAAACTCTAGGAACCACGAGTAAACCTGCAGTCTGAGAGCGAAGTGCTCAAGTATGGAACAATAATATCTGGAATATAAGAGTAATATAGTATTTATGTCGCCTCTCATCAAGAAGGTCGTCGGATCGAATCCTGGCTGGTGGATCTTTCTGGGTGGAGTTTGCATGTTCTCTCCGTGCACGTGTGGGTTTACTCCGGGTACTCCGGTTTCCTCCCACAGACCAAAAACATGCATGTTAGACTGATTGGTAACTCTAAATTATCTCTAGGTGAGCGTGAGAGAGTGAATGGTTGTTTGTCTCTGTGTCCCTGTGATGGACTGGAGACCTGTCCAGGGTGTCCCCCGCCTCTTGCACAGTGATGGCTGGATATGGGCACCAGTGACCCCAGCGACCTGAAAAGGAAGAAGCGGGTAAAGAGGATGGATGGATGGATGGATGGATGGATGGATGATGGATGGATCCCAGTCAGATTATATCTGAAGTGAACTCTATTCCAAAAATCTATTTTTTGTTTCTGAGCATGCAGACAAATGTTGACACTTTGTTCTAAAAGTCGGTTCCCACAGACGCACACTTGTTCTGTGAGAGCGATAAACGGCCGTGAATGAGTCTCGGCCTGCAGACTTTTGTCAAGCTCCTCCTTTGGTTCACAGGAAAAAATAAAAGCATAACATCTTTGTGCGGGATCCTTCCCAGGCAGAGGGTAATGGAGAGAGGGTGGAGGGGGAAGGTACCCTTTCTTTCTTCAGATAAAGACGGAGGGCTGAGGAAGCTTTGAGCTCGCCCAACGGGTGAAATAAGAGTTTTTGGAGAGAGGCAGAGCAAACAGCAACAGGATGGGTTGTTACTCTCTTCACTCCTGTCAGGCGTTAGTTCGCTCTCACAGAGACACATTCTGGCACACGTTCAAACACCGAAGCGCCTGCTGAACTGAAACAAGAGGAGCTAAAAGTACCAGCGGGCTCCATGGCAACAAGTGGGCATTATCAAAAGACAGACATAAAGCAGAATGGAGGAGGGGCTCAACGGTTCCCTGAAAACTGCTCCTTTATTATTTCAGTCTACTTTAAATTCCCGTGGAAGGAACGCACGTCTCCCGCGGCCTTTCAGGACAGAGTTTTAGGATGACATCATCGTACGAGAAAAAAGTGATGGAGTTCTAAAGACTTTCTTTAAATCAGGAACATGAGTTCAGTCACTTCCTGTTTGTCCCGGTGCGTTTATCAGGTTTTAAAATGTGAAGCATTTTATTGATAATCAATCCATCCATCATTCATTCATCCATCATTCATTCATCCATCCATCATCCATCCATCCATCCATCCATCCATCCATCCATCATTTATTCATCCATCCATCCATATATCACCCATTCATTCATTCATCCATCCATCATCCATCCATCCATCCATCCATCATTTATTCATCCATCCATCATCCATCCATCAATCATCCATCCATCATCATACATCAATCATCCATCCATCATCTGTCCATTCATCATATGTCCATCCATCCATCATCATCCATCCATCCATT